CCCCTCCCACCCCCCTTGCGGTTTCAACTTAGAGATTTTTTGGCATCTTAGAAGTTTTGTCTGAGCGGCCCAGGGCAACTCTACCCCCACTGCGCGGCCAGCGAGTACAGCGACCTGAGTAGCTCCACGGCGCGACTGTCGGAGGAGGCGAGCGCCAGCTCCTCGGAGCTCGACTGCTTCCTGCCGCTGTACTGAGGCAACACCGTGGAGAACACGGGGTCCGTGATGAAGGCACCGTATGTGGTGGCCGCCGCCGTGCTGAGCGTTGTCGGCGGCCTCCTCGTCGAGGTCGAGGTCGTGGTGGTCGTGACCGCCGGCCTCTCCCGCACCCGAGAGCTTAGCGCCGCGGAAGGTGACGACTCGCTCGACTTGCCCGCCTTGGTCCTGGAGGCCGTTCTCCCCACCAGCCGCGAGTGCTTTCTCTTGGCGGGGGTGGGCGTGCTAGAGGTGGCTCTGGGTGACGTGGTCTCGGGGATCGTCGCCGTGGTGGTGGTGCTGGTGGTTGTGGTGCTGGTGGTGGTATGAACCTGGCTCGTGTTGAGAAGCGCCTCAAGGAGCTGGTCCCGCACTTCCTGGGCGCCGCCACCACCCGCCTGCTCGTTGATGTTGTTGTTGACGAGTAGCAGCACAAGCCGTCGGATCGTTACGTTGGTCTCGGCCTCCTTGAGCATGCTCATTAACATGTCAGCCATGCTGGCGTTGAGGTGGCCGAACATGGCCTCCGCCGCCTCCACCATGGTGGTGTTCATTGGCACGCTCTCGGGTCTGCTGCTGCTGGCAGTGGACGAGCTGACGCTCGAGGTGACGGACATGGTGATGGAGCCACTCCTGGGCACGACGGCACCGCTGGGCGCCGGCCCCGAGGTGGGGTCGGCTCCGGCTGGGAGCACCCAGGTGCTGCTCTGAGTGTCCTCCGGGGCCGCCGTCGGCGGCAGGATGCTGCTGCTTGGCGGGGTGTGCACTGCATGCTGCCGCGGGTGGTACGTGGTGATGGCCGACGGCGTCGTCGTGGACGTCGAGGCTGTGGGCCCCGCGGTAGACCGCACCGCGTGCACTGTCGTCGGGGACGTCGTAAGCTCGTAGTTGATGGCCAATGGGTTGAGTGGCTCATGGGCGTTGAGCGTGTCCTCGGAGGGCAGCCGTTTGGGCTGCTGCTGCTGCGGCTTGCTGAGGTCGAAGGCGGTGGCTTTGCCGGAGCGCAGGTTAACGCGGTAGCGCGTCCGCGTCGTGTCCAGAGAGTGCTCGAGCAGACGGGATGCAAACGCGGGTGAAGTCGCCGTGGTGGGCTTGGCGAGCAGCTTGGCCTGCGCCACCGTCACGGGCACGGCGGAGCCGACTGGCGCCTTGGTGGACAAAGCCTTGGGCGTCAGCGTCTCGGGAGTGGTCAGATACTTGGCACCCCGGAAGCGCACCTCTTGCGTGGTTGGCACCGGCGTCGTTGTGGGTGGTTGCGTCGGCCTCGGCGTTGTGGTTGGAGGTGGCGTTGGTTTCAGCGTGGTGGTGGTGGTCGTCGTCGTCGTCGTGGTTGTCGGCGGCGCGGCTGGTGGCAGGCTGGTCCTCACGGCTACAGTGGAGGACGCGGCAGGCGTGTGTGTGGGGGTGACGAAAATAGGGCCGGTGTACTTGGGCTTCTTGGTGGGACTCGTGGACTGCTGAGGGGCTCTGGCGGCCACCGGCGTTGGGGTCGTGGCGGGCCGGGCGCTCTGCTTGGGCAGCGACTTGGACACGGGTTTCAGCGTTGGTTTAGGGGTAGATTTGGGAGTGGCGACTGGGCTCGCAGTAGTTGGCCGAGCCGGGTTGGCGGGCTTGGGGCTAGACTTCGGGGTGGGCTTGGCGGTCGGCTTGACCGCAGGTTTGACCGTGGGCTTGGCAGTTGGCTTGACGGTAGGCTTCACCGTGGGCTTGACTGTGGGCTTCACCGTGGGGTTGGGCTTGGCGGTGGAAGACGCGTAGGAGTTGTCTCTCGCCACGTACGCCTGGCTGCCAGCCGCCACGAGCACGGGGTCTACGGCGTCGACGGCGTTGCTGCCAGAGGCGGAGGGCGCTGAGGGCGCGGACGGCGCCGTGAGGGACGCCGACCTGAGCGTGTTGTTGTACTCCGAGTGCAGAAGAACAGCCAGCTGGTTCAGGTCCTCTGGAACGAACGAGCCCAACGCGTTGTCAATCTTCTCTAGGTTCTCCTTGGGTATCTCATGCTGTTTGGACGCCGGTGGGTTAGTCGCGCCGACGGTGGTGGCCTCGGTGAGCGACGGCGGTGTCGTGACGTCGGTGAGCGTTGTAGCGGCGGTGGTGACTCCGGGCGGGGTCACGCCCGAGCCGTAGGGGCTGTAGCGCGAGTTGTTCTGGAAGCCGCCGTACCGAGGCAAGCCGACGTCCTGCACGCCGCCCGCCGTGGGGAAGTAGTCGTCCGCGGACAGCGCCGACGGCCCTGATGGCCCTGACGGAGGGCCCGTCCAACTCTCGTTGAGCGCGCTGAGGATGGCGATGAGGCTGTTGACGTCGGCCGCGATTGAGGTGTAGTTGGACGAGTCTGGGGGCACGGTGGGAGGCGCCGTCTTGAGCGTGGAGTAGTACCGGCTCTGCGAGTCCAGGAGCGACTCCAAACGCTGCAGCGGCGCCTCCAGGTCAATGGCGGGGAAGTCCGCGCCCAGTGGTTGCACCGGGGCGGTAACCGTCGTGCTGAGGGGCGCGACGGTCGTGGGGACGGCCTCGTTGACGGTGGTTGTGGCAAAAATGATGGGCAGGTAAGGCGCGGGGCCGGCTGGCGTCACCTCGAACAGCTTGCTGCCGCTACTGCCGCCCTTGTTCACATCCGAGTACTCAAGCACCTCGTCGCTCTCCTTGGTCACGGACGATTCCTCTGCCAGGCTTGTGGCGCTCGCGTCTGTGGACGATGACGACGGCGCGGACGAAGACGATGATGAGACGGGTGCTGATGGCGAGGAGGCCTCCGTTGTGATGGTCGTGATGTCGACGTCATTGGGGCTGCCCGTCGTTGAGGACGGCGGCGGCTCGGTTGGACGCACCTCGGCGAGGACCTTGCGGAACGTCTCCGGGTCCTCGAGGTAGGCGGAGAGCGCGCGCGTGAAGACCTGGGCCAACTCGCGCAAGTCCGCGTTGTCTGCTATGCTGGGCAGACCCTTCTCGCGCGCAGCTTGGATGCTGTTGGACAGCTCGGCAAGGTCCAGCGCGTCGGCGCGCTCGGGCTCCACGATGCCGCGACTCTGCTCGCCGCGTAGGTCGTTGCTGGGGTTGAGGTTGACGGCGGACTTGGTGTCCAGCAGCAGGTCGTAGGGCGTGGTCGGAGGGTCGTAGGTGGAGGTCGTGGTCGTGGTTGGCACCTCGGTCTCTGCGAACAGTGACGAGTACGAGTCCTTGGTGAGCTGGGTGAGGGAGGCGGGCAGCTGTTCGCCGTCCTGGCCGCTGGCCGTGAAGTCCGTGAAGTTGCCGCCGTTCGCGTGCGGCAGTAGCAGCACGTCGGAGATGGATATGGACTCCTTGAACGGCGCCTCTTCGGCCGTGAGCAGCGCGGGCAGTGGAGTGGTTGGCGGCTCCGTCGCGACCGTGGTCTCGATCTCGTCGTCGGGCGCGGCAAAGTAGAGCGCGAGCGACTGGAGAGACCCCGGCCCGGAGGCCGACGGCCCGGCCGTCGCGTTCCTGGCCGCGGCGGCCGCCGGGTCGTCGCTCTCGGGCAGCGGCGCGGACAGCTCCAGCGTGCGCAGCGAGGCGTGCTGCAGCGTGACTGCCGCGGTGCTGGCCTCCTCCATGGCCGCGGTGATGGCCGTGGCGGCCTCTGTCGTGGGCGGTTCGGGCGAGGCCTGCGCCGTGGTGCTGGAGGCGGGCCGCACTGCAGGCTTGGGGATGATCCTGGCGAGGGTGATGTATCGCGTGGTGGGCGGCTCTCGGGGAGTCTCCCTCGTCGGCTGCTGCCTCAGGGGGGTCGCCGCCGAGGAGGGTGGCGTGGTGCTAGACACGGAGCGCGTCCGCTGCAGCTCGACGTACTTGGTGGAGTAGGTGGGCGTAGGCGACGGTGGCGTCGCCTCCGCCGGGGTGGCCGTCTTGGCGCGCAGGGAGTTCTGGTACTTGCGGTAGAACGGCGTGGGCTCGCCGGGGGCGGCCGTGGTGGCCACCGCGTCTGAGCGCTGCCGCTTTATCTCGGCGTACGTCTTGCTGTTGGCCTGCAGGCGGTAGATGTTGGGCGGGGTGGTGCTGGCGTGGAACTGGCTGGGCGCCTCGGACACGACGCGCGACTCGAAACTGGGCGACTCTACGTACTGCGTCTCGAGGGGTCGGTTAAGCCCGAAGCTGAAGCGGCTGGAGCCCCGGCCGGTCGCGAAGGACGCTGTCTCGGCCGGCTGCTGTCGCTCCAGCGGGTCGTGCTGCGGCTCGTCCTGCGGCCGAGGCAATTGCTGCTGCTGTGGCTTCTGCTGCTGCTTCTGCTGCTGGTGCTGGTGCTGCTGCTGCTGATGCTGCTGCTGCTGATGGTGCTGCTGCTGCTGGTGCTGCTGCTGCTGCTGCTGGTGCTGCTGCTGGTGCTGCTGCTGCTGCTTCTGCTGCTTGAGCGGCTGCAACTGCGGCGTAGACGTGACCTTGAGGTAGGGGTTGACACCAGGTGGGTAGTTGAGCTCCTCCTCCTTGCTCCTGTACGTGGTCCTGGGCCCGTTGGACTCGGCCGTCGCGAAAGTCTCCCTTCCGCGGGGGCCGCCCTGGTCGTCCTGCTCCTGCTGCTGGTTCTTGTTGAAGCGGAATTGGCCTTGCACGCCGCGGCCCCGCGGCACGGGCGAAGACGAGTAGGTTGGCCCGGTCGTGGACACTGTCGACGCGAAGCTCCCGGGCCCGGTAGTGGATGCCACCGTGGGGTTGGCGACGCGGTTCCTGCTCCCGAAGTCGCCAGCGTTCGCCGAGGCGCGACCCGGGCCCGTCACGAAGGACTGCACGTTGCTTCCATAGCGGTTCTGCTGCTGCTGTTGCTGTTGCTGCTGCTGTTGCTGCTTTTGCAGAAAGTTGCGGTTGCCGTTAAACGTAAAGCCGTCGCCTCCAGGCGCCGTCTGTCCGTGGAAGGTGCGGGAGCTGCGTTCATCACCCGAGGACACCGAGGACGCCGTCGACTGAAAATTATTGTTGTTATTGTTGCTGCTGCCGCCGCCACCATTGCCGCCGTTGTTGTACGAGCCGTAGAAGCTGCTGCTCGCGCTGGTGGAGAAGAAGCCACCGCCTGAGCCCGACGGCGGCCTAGAGCTGAAGCTAGTGGGCTGCGTGGGCTGCGCGGGCTGAGCGCGCCGTTCGGTGCTGCCGATGACCCTGGTGTAGGCTGAGTCCGTCCTGGGCGTGGAGGGCGCCAGGCTGGCGGCGCGCTGCCGCACCGCCTCCTGGTCCGTCGCCAGCTGCTCGGCGCTCGACTCGTACAGGCCCTCCGACTCGGCGCAGTCCACCTTGAACCACCAGTCGCAGATGAGGTGCGACTGGCGGAACACGGTGCCGTTCGGACACAGGAACGAGATCTTGCGCCCGCCGTCGCAGATGTGGAACACCTGGGAACAGACAAGCGGAGCGAGGCGGTGAAAGGCAGCACTTCGGCGCCGGGCGGGCAGGCCACCCCTCCGGCGGGCGGGCTGCTGCGCGGCCTGGCTGCAGGGGCCGTAAAGGGAGAGCGGAGGAGGGGCCGGGGCAGGGACGAAAAGGGCGAACCGTGTCATCGGCGGCGCTGCCGGCCGGCCCGGGGTCCGGGGGCCAGGCCGCTGTGTCCGCGGAAGTCGCGATAGATAGCGTGGTCCACCGCCACCGCCCGGCCGCCCTTCAGGACTACCACTAGCTCCGTGGCGGCGGCGGCGGCTCGGTCACGACCGCCCCGGCCCGGCCTTGTATCGCACGCCTCGCATCTTCGGCTTCCTCTCACTTTAGATATTTGGCCAATAATATGATAATTCACGACGAGCGCCCCCGCTGCCTCACAAAGGGCTGCGTGACGTCGAGGCTGTCGTGTCCCCCAGGAGAGGGTCGTGAGAAGCGATGAATTACTACATGGAGCGGCGCGGCGGGTTAGGGTAGGTCAGGAAGAAGCCGCCAGGCGGGGCGGGGCGGGGCGGGGTGGGGCGCGCGGCGCGCTGTCATCGGCGAGTACAAGCCGGATGTGCATCTGTGTGTTCACTCGCTTGAGGGAGGGAAAGACATCGGCGACTTCTCATCAGTTACAGAGAAGTGCATACAGCGGAGTGATGCAACATACACACACAAAAATATTTACTCAGTTCTCAGTGAAACTGCGAACACGGACACGCCTCCTCTTCATACTACTCTATCTTCAGAAAGGACCGAGTTAAAACGAAGAAACAAAAAGAAAATTTGATTCAAAGAAGAGGCTAGAAATATCCAACAACCGAACACTGGCCATCTTAGAGATAATCCAGATAGCTTGTATGTCATTTTTGCAGGGGGCGGGGCGGGGTTTATGCAAGCTCTCATAGCGCCTAGTGGGTAGGCAAAATCGTGCCGGCAGTGCATGCGTGTACTGCAGGGTGGCCTATCCTGAATCTCGCAGGCGCCGGGCTCCTTTAAATTCCCGAATAAATCCGAGAAAACTAACTACTTTATGGACGATTTCTTACGCGGACTTCGGCCACTAACACCTGACGACCCCAGAACAGGCCACCAGTGCATAGAGCATGGAATTTTGTTGCCTACCTTATCAAGAATAATCTTTCAAAATTTAGAAACATTAATTCACATCAACAGAAGCTGTAAGTCAACATGATGTAAGATAAAAACGTGCACCCTTGGCTCGACTCTATTAGAATACGTGATACGCTGAACCAACTGAACCCTGAAACACGTGTTTACTTTGGCACGCTAGTATCCCCTTTCGTGATTTGTTCCCGAAAAGGTCCCCTAACTCTGCGCGAGCGACTGCCCTCTCCCCCCAGCAGCTCGCCTACAGCCGGCAGCTGCTGCTTCATCACTTTCATCAGATGCCCTTTTATTCCTTACGTTTCCCTTTTTCTGGTCAGAAGCAGTGCGGCGTGCGGCCGTTCGTTGGCCCGCGCGCAGAGGACCCAAACATTTTTCGTGTAAGGGTAATTTTCGTCAATGGGGATCGGTTTAGTAATTTCCATTTTTCTCTCACACTGCCTTCCGCCGCCCAATAACCGCACTTGTGCTGCACTGAGCGGCTGTGGTCGTATCGCTGTGCCATAACGAGAGAGAGAGGGAGAGGGAGGGAGAGGGAGGGAGAGAGGGGGAGGGGGAAGGGAGAG